ATAGTGAATATTTGTGAGTGTGTTTGTGTGTGTGTGTGTGCGTGTGCGACTGTTTGTGTGTATGTATTCATCCATACAGATGCTTGCAGTGAACCATTCTTTCTAATCTTTTCTTAATCATGTCCCTGCGTATTTTATAAATTTTGTCTCTTAAACCAAATTGACGTCCTCCTCTACAGTGGCTCTGTGTGCCGTTCGCTTTCACTAACCCAAACGTGTCCAGCATCACGAGCACCCAGCTGACGCGCTTTCTCTACACACCAGTCAACACCCCGGTCAACGCTACCTTAAACATCACCGGCAACTCTACCTTAAACATGTCCACCAGCGATATAATAAACATCACCACATTCCAAGTGACGAACGCCACAGGCTGGTTCGGGGTCTGGGACAACAGGAGAGTCGGCATCTGGATTGACTACTTCCTGCTCCTGGTGCGTAGTGCTTGTTGTACGCAGAATTGGGCAGAATTGTGCTTTATCCAGAACAACGCTCGGGCATGGTTCTGGATACTAGTAGTACACGTTTATCCAGGACCATGCTTTATCCAGAACCATAACTCGAGAATTCAATATCTACAAACTTTGCGCCGTGTTCAAGCTTAAACGTATTAATCTAAATTTGATAAAATCAAATGGATTCAATCATAACCGATTCAGCCCAAACCCTGTCAGTCAAATGAAACCCAAAAGCTACGGGTGCACTTGAGAATCCAAACATACAAACCTAGCATAAATTAGCGCCACCCAAAACAATACTTCCGAGAGGTAAGTATTGGCAGACTTTAACTAAAATTGGTTTTAGTATATTGATAACGCTCTGGTAGACCACAGGAGGAATAGCCTCTTATGAGGCTAATTGTGTATCTAAATAAAACTCAAAACTCTGTATATGGTCCCTTCCAGACCCTTGGAGGAATCCCCTGGCAGGCGTATTTCCAGCGCGTTCTGGCGGCGAAGTCCACCAACAACATCCGGGCAATCTCCGTGAGTTCAGGGTTCCTGTGCATGGTCATGGCTATCCCATCATTCCTCATTGGCGCGATCGGAGCCTCAACAGGTGAACTACATTCATATCTGTATCAGTTTTAGCATGGTTTCATTCTTATTATCTATTTCTTTATTTAATTGAAAGCAACGACACGGTCACATTCGTCGATTTTGAATTTTGAATTAGGCTGTGACTGAACCAACAAATGACAAGGCTCTAAAGCAGCATTTTCATAGAACTGGATAATTTCTGGACGGCTGAATTTTGTACGACACTCATACGACTATCCCCAAAAATGCCCTTGTGATCGTACGACAATCGTGCGACGAATGATGCCATGACGAAGGAAGTACTTCTTTATCACAATTGAATACCATGCACTGAGCGTAAAAATAATTCTTAATCTTAAATTGCTTTGAACGTTTTTGCTGCACACATTTCAGACTGGCCGGACGCTGATTCTAAAAGCAAATCTTGAATTGCTTTGAACATTTTCTCGCACACATTTCAGACTGGCCTAACACTGATTTTAAAAGCAAATCATGAATTGTTTTTAACATTTTTTTCGTGCACGTTTCAGACTGGCAGAACACAGCGTACGGCCGAGACCCGGCAGTAGAGGGGAACTCCAACCTGATCCTCCCCCTCATCCTGCAGTACCTGACTCCGACGTGGGTGTCGTTCTTCGGACTTGGCGCCGTGTCGGCAGCCGTTATGTCGTCTGCGGACTCCTGCATCCTGGCCGCCAGCTCCGTCTTCGCCAAGAACGTCTACAAGGAGGTCTTCCGCCAGAAGGTTCGTTACATTAACTTTTGAAAAAAATTCCTGGCGTCTACAGGACGTAAAGTGCTTATGCCACCAGTGACACTGAAGTGACAATTTCTGGAGCTATACTTTGGAGACCGTGGTAGATACCCTATGTATACCTGGTTTCTGATAATATTCAACCAAAATAAGGTATATTCAATGAGCAAAAACATTTGTACAAACTATCTGACCTTACAATTTATATTTCTAGTCCTTGATTTCTTCAGTTAAAGTCTGCCAATATATTACGTCATAGTAACACGAATATTCTGAAAGGCAATTGTTTTGCTTTTGAAATTCTTGACGTGCACTGGCTCTCCCTAGGGCTATACTTACAACATAGAAAATTTCTTTCTTTCTTTCTTTCTTTCTTTCTTTCTTTCTTTCTTTCTTTCTTTCTTTCTTTCTTTCTTTCTTTCTTTCTTTATTGGCAATGACAACAGGTCAAGACACAGGTTATCAAGGCAGTGTTAACTGGTATTAGATAACCCACAAATACAAACGTGCAGACAAACATGAAATAAGAAATCTACTATAAATACAAGACCTGAAATAAAGATAACATATTAACTGGTTACAAGGTACAATACTATAATACATAATATAAGAAAATCAAGACGTTCCTAACTAGCAGTAATATGTGCATTGTGCAAAGAGTGTAGATACTAAATTGGGATGAATGGAAGGCTTTGGGTAAAAGTTAAATATGACTGCAAGTTTAAAAGAAGAATCATGACAAAAGGTGGTTTCTGCAGTGAGAGAAAATTTCAAGGGAACGACCAGTACAACTTATTTCTTTCTTCATCCATATTCTCAAGGCATCAGAGACGGAGATAGTGTGGGTGATGCGCTTCTCTATTTTTGCGGTCGGCGCCATGTCCACAGCGATGGCAGTTACCGTCAAGACAATATATGGTGAGATACATAATTGCTTCTACATGTTATTTTAAGAGTCTCGATGTTGGAGACAGATTTGAATATATCTTTACATGTAATGGTCCCCACAACGCAAAAATAGGTAGATATATAAAGGAATGCTTTGCTATTAGAAAAAATACCGAAACTCATGATTAGCCCACTCGATTGTAACACTTTATCAAAACTTGTGACATCTCTTATTATTTGAATGATTATGATATAGATATGTTAGGTTTTATTCGACATTAGGTCTTATTCAACACACTTATTTTATTGTTTGTTACTCTCTTTATGTAGTTTACCATACAATGTACCATGTGCAATTGTCGTGCAATAAAGTTCTTCTGTAATTCACCCGCGCCCCTCCCCCAATGAAATTTAGCTAGTTTTTCATAATCAGAACAATCAAACTACAACACCAACGTTTGTTCACGCGGCCTATGATAGTATGTGACCTTTAACATCTAGGTCACTTGGCAACTATTTCAGGGGTGACAAAAGATGGCGGATGTCGTCTGAAAGTTATAAATCTAGCTGAACTCTCAGGTCGTTAGCAAGTGTTAAATCTTCCATATATTACAGTTGAGTATAGTTGTATGTCTCCTATTGCTTGACCTTACTTTCTTTGACACTGTAAAGGCCTTTTTACAAGCTGTATTAGCCTACGGGCATGATTTTGCAACTAAAGAATATTTCTTTAACACATTAATTTTCACATTTGTCCTTAGGACTGTGGTACCTGTGCTCGGATATGGTGTACGTGATCCTGTTTCCCCAGCTGATCTGTGTGATCTATCTCAAGTTCACCAACACGTACGGCTCGCTGGGCGGCTTCCTGCTGGGGATGCTGCTGCGGTTCGGCGGAGGGGAGGAGCTGCTGTTCCTACCGGCAGTCATCAAGTAAGCAAAGTGACCAGTACTAGTTTCCTGCACCGGATCTATCTACTGGTAGCCTGGTTACAAGGCCTATTTTAGCTCCCGAGTCCGGGAGGAAAGGATATACACTCGGGAGTAAAATACGTCTGGTAACCAGGCTTTATTCCTTGTGTTCTTCCAGTGCCCGGTTACATTTTTTTATGTTTTAAAGAGATGTTGTCTTGTTACTGCCGGGTGCATAAGTATTGTTTTGGGTGACTGAGCTGTGGTTTGTGTGTCTGTTGTTCAGACAGAGCAGGTTGACAGCACATGGGTGATGGAAGATTGACATGCAGAATGACTGGTCAGAAACAGAAAATGGGGTAAATTTGAAGGTGACGAAAACCCCAAAATACTTTATGAAGCTTGAAAAATCCCTAACCTCTCGTCTTTTTTAATCCAGGTATCCATTTTACGACGACTCCACCGGCACTCAGTACTTCCCTTTCCGTTCCTTCGCCATGCTGTGTAGCTTCGTGTACATCATCGTCATCTCCCTCATCACCAAACTTATCTTCGAGGGCGGAAAAGTCCCGCTCCGTTTTGACGTCTTCTACTGTTTCCACGAAGATCCGAATGAGGATCGGGAAACGGAACAGAAGGATGTAGAGGTGGATCTTCTAGAGAACGGGTCCAGCGTTTCCAGGGTGGTTAATAAGTTCAAAGGGGGAGAAAAATCGGAGGCTGAAGCAATGTTGTAAATTGTTCGTCATTTGTTACGTTTTATTTGAGGTTGGAACTTGTATGAAAAAGAGCCCCAATTACTCAGTTAATAAGATAATACAATTAGATAAGAGATTCGCGACAACATCAAAACATGATGCATTCAGATAGTATATAGTATATTACTATATCTCCATGTATCTCAAAAAGAAGAAACTATTAGGCGAATGGAATCACAATAGTGTATAAGGGTTCAGTACACATTAGTGTATAGTACATGTATTTTAGTGTTTTACATTTTACATTATCATTTAATAATAGACCAAGTGTCTATGCATGTAGCCATTCGGGCATAAATATACAACAAACATTATCATCATAAAATGTAAATATCATATCATTGATAATAGATTACATTTGACACCACGTTATACGTTATGCCTTCAAACATCAAAACAACGCCCTAATATCAATGGCGTGAACGATATTACAAACATTGACCCTGTTGCAAATAACATGTAACGTTACCTGCAAAAGCATACATCTCTTCGTAAAAAATACGAACATTTCTATTAACCGTTACAATACCTCTTCTGTACTAAATACAATAGAAACTTTTGTCTATTAGTACTAGTATATACGGTGCTGTATAATATACAACATTTGCAAGGACCAAAGTACAATTCTCTATACGACAACTGGGGCGCTTTTTGTCAAGCCACAGTAGTACTGTTTTTACAATACCCGTTGTCAACTGTGCAATTATCATGTATACGCAACACACAACATATAGTACAGACGATATGCGTTGATACAAGCACATAATAAGCATAATAGAATATTCCGATAATTATCATGATATCATGATTACCAACTCAATATGAACTTTCATGCCAAATGAAAAAATTATGTGTCGTTCACTTGTTCTGAGCGATTGGGTTAGACATCTGAAGAGTGATTCAATCCAAAATTCTAAGAAGTAAAACTGCGGGGACTAGTTAAATTGGAGAGTAGTTAAAGACTCAATATGAACTTTAATGCTGTAATAAAATGTTGAACTCTGAGTACCCTTTGTGTTGGAATAAAGTTCAACATTTTACTACGATTTCTTCCAACACAGATAAACTTTCATGATAACTGTCGCCCTAAATGAAGAATTCCTTGGTGGTCCGCTCGAAGTTGACGCTGGCGCTGCCCAGGGGCGTGGTCAGGTTGGCAGACAGCTTCTTCGTCTCGATCTTCATCATCCGCTTCTTAAGGAGTTCGCGCAGCTCCTTCCGGAAGTTGGCCAGCTCCTGAAAATTTATCAGAAAACATTCTAGCTAGGGAGCAACTAGTCTTTACCAGACTCCTTTGCAGGATGAATAAATAGTAGAAATCGGCCTAAAAAGAAATGTAGCTGGCCAGAGGAGTTGGCCGGCCATAGAGGGCCCAAATCCATGCAGGCAAACTGGACCCTCTGACTATGGCCGGCTAACTCCCCCTGCCAGCTACATTCTTGCCGATTTCTACTATTTATTCATCCTGCAAAGGAGTCTGGTGGACACTAAGGAGCAACGATAAGGACAATGAGCAAGCGAGACGCGAGTGAATTTTACAACCTTATCCTTCTAAACTGTTGTGTGATGTCTTTTTAGAGTGGTGCTTTATCTGAAATTCGATTCTTTAGTAGTATTCGTCATGTAACAGCACTGACAGATCCAATGGTTTTTCCTAACGCTTTTGGCATACAGGTGTTGTCTGCACATGCCGGTAACGAAACATGGTGTCATATAATAAGCTCTCGCATTGCTTTACTCATCAGGCAATTTTGATTGTGACCTAGGTCGATGGCATCACTCAGCAACACATACCGTGTATCACTCCGCACTACAGTTAGCCTGGGTAAGGCTGGATACTAGGCTACACTACAGTACACATGAGCACAAGATTAGAGATGTTTAAAGAGGCTCTGAATAAGTTTCTCTTGTTCAATTTATAGAGACACAAACATGGTGTAAAAGTTTACCTGTTTCAGCTCGTTGAATCTCTCCACCAGGGCCTCCTTAGACTGGCGGTCTTTCCTGCGCCGGTGAGTCAGCCAGCGCTGCACCAGCTTTCGCATTACCTCCTGTACAGGGTGAACGTAAAGCAAGATGATAAAACAATAATGTATCAAGAACAGTCCCTATCTAATTATAAAGCACGGTTATGGATACCATAAAATTAGCAAAGTCTTACTTGAGATTATGACTGCATTTAATGTTACCGCAAGATGGCGCTGCAATGTGGATACTGCGGTCCCAAACGTGACCCAAGTAAATCCAGCTATTATTGTCCAGTTGTAAGCCACATGGAAGATGATTACCGAAAAGAATCAGTGGACAAGACAAATCAGAAGTGACCTATTTCACTGTTATCACTTGGAAAGTACGATCTTACCCGGTAATCTGAAGGAATCTTGGTTTCAGATCTACTGCGTCTTGATTGGTTAGTCTGAAAAATGAAAGGAATAAAGTGAAATATTATCACATCAGCGACTTTGTATAGTCATTTGACATTTTAGCAATCATTATAAATTCACAATATATCAAGTTGTCACAATATATCAAGTTACGCCAGCCTCCACTTTTGCACAAAAATAGAACAGAACAACAATTGTACAAGACAATCAAATACGAGTACTTGAATTAAAGATTACAGTACCTCATTGTCACCAGACTCTACAGAGAACTCCTTGAGTTTCCTCCCGCACAGGTCCCGCAGTTTGGCGCTGATCCACGTCAGGCAGTAGTAACAGGACTTCGGGCTGGGGACGAGGTTCAGAGGAGGGGGGAGGGTCGCCGAGTCCTCGAAATAGCTCATCCACAGCTTGGTGTGAGCGTACTTCCATTCCGTGTCCTCGTGTTCCTACAGCCGAAACGATAACAGCCGTCACAGGGTAAAATTTTTCATGTAATCGCCAGGTGGCACCATTTGAAACAGTGACCTTGTGGACAGAGTTTTATTTGTTCTATGATGTGCTAACGTAAAACATATAATTTATATAGTCTGGGTTGTAACGTTACAATAACACTCCTGGCTAATCATTGGTTAACAACAAGATTTGTCATGTACTGAGCTACCTGTTTTTTGTGAAGAACAATACGTTCAACGCCACACGCCACAAACACACATACACTTACACACTGAGACCCATAGAGAGATAAACTCGCACACATGCACTGTCACAGGCATACACACGCACATGCACACACACACACACACACACACACACACACACACACAAACAAACACGCACAAACAAACATATGCATACGCACACACATCTATATCTACATAGGCTTATCAGGCATATCTATAACTATTCATGGCATCCCATCCCATCTATATCTACGTACAGACATATCTAGGCAGACTTACCAGAGTGATCTGTATGGATCGCTGCAGCATGGCGTTGAGCAGCTTGGTGAGCACGATGACGACGATGATGTTGTAGCATCCCACCATGACGGCGCCCAGGAACCCCGTGTACATGTCGTGCTTCTGCACGCCCGTGTTGCTGGAGTAGATCTGGACGTGCGCCATGCTGAACTGGTACCAGAACAGGGTCAGCACCGCCTCGTGGACGCTTAGGGGAAGAAAATGGAGTTTTCTTTTGGTTAGGACAATACTTTATCGTTTTTATTCACAATCCTTGACAAGGCGCACAGTATATCTAGTATATACTGACAGTACAGGTAGTCAGAATACAGAATGTTAGCATCTAGACTGATTGGTACCGTGGAATACAGGATGATATTTCAACATAATAGCAGGAAATCTTAGGGTTCAGTCTCATGGGAAGTATACAATCCTGGACTTCCTGAATTCCCGCATGTCCATCTCTATTTCCTGCTGGCTTCAGATCAAATACCGAGATCTTTAACCTCTTAGCGTTCTGCCTGTCAATCTCCACACCCACTCGTTATCAACCTGTTCTATCAAGACAAACAGATACACAAACCCACAGCACAGCCACCCAAAACAATATTTCCCTACCTAGAAGTAATCAGACAACATAATTTTAGTTAGTACCTAAATTGCATACTTTAGTAGTACAGCTTGGTACTTTTTCGTGGACGCGAGTGCAAGGGGCCCGTTACAAAATGGATGTCACCCAGGCTAGAGACGCCGGTGATTTGGGTTTCGGTCCATTGGTAACACACCTTGAAAAGACGTCGTTGTGATTGGGGCACTGCACGCCCTGGCAGGTGTAGCTGTTGTTGGGCAGCTCGATGCCGGGCGCGCTGTAGGTGGCCTGCTCGATACTGCAGGTTCCGTTCGCCACGGCGTACTCGTTAGAGATGTCTATCAGGATCTGTGGCGTCGGGGGAGACGCCACAATGTTGGTGGGGATGTGCTCCCTCGGGACCTTTGGGGGGGGGGGGGAGAATATAATCAATGATATAGTTCATGCAAATGGGATCAGGGGGAATAATCTATATTTCGTCAGTCATAAAGGTTAACACTTTATCAAGTGTACCCCAGATAATGATGATGATGAAAGGTTGACATCATCTGGCGAAGGTATGTGATCGTGGAACTCTAGTTTTCCACTGTTTTTCTATGTAGAGTAAGATTTTTAGAAGACTTTCAAATGTAATTTAACGCCTAACTCAATTAGTCAATAATAGTCTACGATCAGTTGGAAAACACTGGCTGTTGTAAGCCTAAAAAAATTGGCCTTGTTAGGAGTGAGCAATCCATGGCTGACCTCGTTGTAGACCCAGTAGAGCTGCTGCAGGCCGATGGTGAAGGACAGCAGCACCAGGCCGAACAGCGCCAGGTACAGGAAGATGTTGGGCAGCATCCGGCCCACTGAGATCTGAACAAACACAAAAACTAGACTTAAATTAAACTTAACTAAAGTTCATCTAAAATTGTAAGTTTTCATGTGAAAAAGTGAAACTGTTCTCCATTGCAAAACATTTTGAAAATTCATCAGAATTTTGACTGAATCACTCTGTCTTCTTCAGCTATCTGACCCAATCGCTAGGCACACGTGTGGCGTCAGCAATGCGTCAAGTTTGTTGGACCCATCAAACTTGACTCATCCATCCCCCCCCACACACACACAAACATACGTCTCTGTCATTATTATTTTTTGTTTGGAGAGCACCTTTCCACCAAAGCAGGACTCACTATCACAGGCTTCATATTATTTAGGAGGAGGTGACAGTAAAACAATTAACTTTATTCCAACACACAGTTTACAGAGAGATAAAATTTTCAGCGACCACTGTCGCCTTCATCAGGTTAATTAATGAGGAGGTGATATAGACGTACACCAAAGTGTGACAGTCTAGTACCTGAAGAGGCCCCACCACCGGACTAGCCGTGTACAGGAACGTCAGGCGGAGGAAGCTGAAGATGTTCGCCACTGCGAAGAGCGCCTCCGCCACCAGGTTCGGGTGGTACCGGCCCCACTGGCTCCGGCAGGCGTCTTCGTTCTCAAACTGGAAAAACGGGAAACCGAGATTTCTGAATCCACGCCTGGGATACGATCCAGAGAGTAGCCCAGGACAGAGGGAACTGGAGAACCTTTGTTGCTGCCCTACATGCTGGGACTGGAATTAAGGGCAGTAAGTAAGTAAGAGATTTCAGACCTGAAAACATACAATCCTCGGCTTCCTGAATTCCTAGTGTCAAGATCTAGATTCTGATGGCTTTCGAGCTGATTGGGAAACCTTTGAACTCCTGTCATTATGCCTGTCAATCTTTCCCATCCCACGTGCTGGACATCAAGTTTGAATGGTATACGTAACTGTAAATCTGAGTAGTAGAAACGTTAACAGCCATCATGCGGTGACATATTTCAAATAATCGCTAAATGGCGACATTTTACACTACCTATATATTTGGCTGAAAAATTGTCTGTACCAAAATGCATAGACAAATGGCGTATGTTTTACACATATCGTTCAAAAGTCTAGTATTTAAGAGGAGAGCGCAATTGAAACGTCTTAACTGCTGACCTTAAGGTGTGCCACGATCTTGAGCGTGAAGCTGACGATGTAGAGAAAGTTCATGATGTAACTCATCCAGTTCCGACTTTCCGACACGAACTCTCTCACGCCGTCTCTCCACAACTGCTTTACTTCAGCCCACACCATTCCTAAAGGAACACAAGACAACCTCTTATGTCTATACCGTTACAGTGTAGTAAATTCACAGGTGACGCTGCAACGTGGGAAGTATGCGGTCCCAAATGTGACTATGCTGTATTTATCATAAAATATACTGTAGTCATGGTTACTTTTGGGACCGCATCCAGCGGTGGGAAGTGGAATCATTCAGTATCCCACTTCTGACACCAACTGTCATAAGATGAGCCCATTAGACAAAACTGTAATGTGAAGAACTCCTCTTTAATGATGTTCCTACACTGTAGCACATACCAATAGGACGAATTTCTCCCTATACCCTCCTCTCTCTCTGTCTCTCTGTCTGTCTGTCTCTCTCTCTCTCTGTCTCTTTCTCTCTCTCTCCCTGTGTCTGCCTCTGCCTCTCTCTCTCTCTCTCTCTCTCTCTCTCTCTCTCTCTCCTTCTTCTCCGAAAAAAATACGTTTTTCTTACCCAGCACCCAGACCATGATGATGTACTCAGGCGTGGTGAGCGGCGGCCCGGAGTACTTTCTCAGTGAGAAGTCGTCGTACGTGGAGATGTACAGCAGGAGGAGGAAGATGATGTAGGAGGCGCTGTGACTCATGAACTTGATGGCCGGCGATCTGCAGAAAGGTGTGGAAAAGCTATTTTGTGTTGCTTCATTCTACGAAATTAACCAATACATCGAAGACCTTGATCTTCCCCATCACGTGCTGTCAATCTACTACATGTACCTAGTTCACCACATTTGCTGTGTCTGACCTTTGGATCATGAACCCCCGTCCTTCTGCCTAGCCTACCAACGTTCCCAAGCCCGCGTGCTGTCAACCTACTCTGTTCAGGCAAGCAGACACATAAGCCCACAGCTCAGCCACCCAAAACGATAGGCCAATATTCTACTACTTGAATACATGTCAGTAGTACCAGAAAGTCACTGTCAATGTGGCGTAACTGCACTTTATTGTTGCACACGTACCTATATAATAATGGGGCCGAGCCCGCTGGGAAGTATTTTTGGTATTTGTGACCCTATTTCCTGCGTCTGACCACTAGACCTCCTATCATCCTGCCTGTCAATTTTCCCCACCCATGTACTGTCAATGCACTCTCAAGTTCACCCCATTTCCTATGCCTCGTCATTAGCCCTCCTGTCTGACCGTCAATCCTTTACTGTAGCTTATTTGAGCACACGCACCTGATGATGGAGCCGAGCCCGCTACGCGGCGCCACCAGATATGCCACAGAGAGGAGCGGCCAGATGAGGCTGATGCCGAGAGCCACCAGGAGCTTGCCGGCCAGAGGGAGGGTGCGGAACCGAGGAACGCCGCTGTACCACACCCGGTTCAGCAGCTGCTGGCAGCTCGGTCGGGCCACAAACTGCATGGGTGAGAAACGAGAAAACATTACTGATAATGCGTTTACGATAGAGCTAGCTTATCACCATCCAGCCTGTTGGCAGCTCGGTCGGGCCACAAACTACATGGGTGAGAAACAAGAGGACAAAACATTGCATTTAATGAACGTAGGCGTTTGCGATAAAACTTTGAGCTATTTTCTCCAGTAGCTTAAGTTATGCACCATCTGGCCTGGATGTATGTACGAAGCAAATACGTTTGGTACCATGCCTGGATGCCAGCCCTTTGAACTTTAGCATGCTGCATGCCTTCGTTGACAAAAGTACTGGTCCATCACATACATGTATTTGTAGTCTATCTACCTGGTGATGACGCCACGTAATGGCCTAATTCAATCTTAGTGCGCGCAGGGTAGGGCCTCTGCTGATTGGATGATCCTATCCCAGGAGGTTTGGCCAATCAGCGCGACTGTTTGAAAGTCTGAACAAATATGCAAATGACAGAAGGAAAGACAATGTGTTAGCCCAGTCTTTTTTGGCACGTAAACGACAATTAGACTAAAGCTAATCAAAGAGGTTGGCATTCAGACAAATCACCATCAGTAGCTTTTATGATAATGTAAACTCGTACCTCCTTCTGGCCATACTCCACGGCGAGTTTCAGTCGAGCCAGACTCATGCCGACCGCGCCCTTCTCCTTCACCGGTTCCGGGTGGTTCGGGTTGTGTGCGTTCAGCACGGCAAGAAGCTCCTTGGAGTCCCGTACCTGTGACAGAAAACATACAAAATGCAGCACAACTGTGAATAGAACATGAAGATAAAAGAAACTGAGAAACAAGAAGTATGGGATTTTGTGAATTGTATGTTTTATGATTTAATATCAGGAAATGGCGTCACCTCGTCCAGCAGATCCGTGGAAAACTTCTTGCACTGTGCAGACAGCTTCTCGTAGTCACTTTTAAACTCGACCTGCAACCAGAGACAGTTAATAATTAATTTATAATCACAAAATCTGAAACGTAACGTGTATTATACAATCTCTAACTGTGAGAGGCTGATTTGGCTTCCTTCCCGAATGCTTGTGACCATACACCTCTAAACCTAGGTAAACATTCCCATTCCCAGTTCTCCTGACTTAGAGGCGTTGGTCATCAAGCTTCTAGGGTCCTGACCAGTGTAATGATTTATCTATAACACATGACAACACACGCACATACACAACACGCACGCGCTCACGCACGCACACACACACCTCAACAAAGCTGAGTCGCTTGAGCTCGTTGCTGAGAACCCAGGCTTTGTGGATGGGATCCTCCTCCGTCAGAGCCATCAGCGAAGGGCTGGCGAGGGCTCTGTAGATATTACAGTTACATACTTATGATCAAAACATCTATTCACATCAGACTTAACGAATGTGGATACAAAATGTTGTGAGTAAGGTCATAGGGGGCAGTCAAAAACTAGAGAATCTCGAAGCTTGGAACGAATATGTATGGAAGATAATTACTTAAAATAACTGACCCACTCCCTCAGAACACGTAACTTTACGAACGTACATGTATGACGTCAAAAATGGTTCAAAAGCTAACCCTCTCTCAACTGGGATGATATTGACTTCCAAAAACCTATGACAGCTGAAGAGGACCGAGAGAATTCCAGTGATTCCCATGTTTTGGGTTGGAGAACAGTTCCATTATTCCATAAAGATCCATACCTGTAGATGTTTAGTCGGCGGCGGGAGTGTCTGAGACTGTCCCTCTCGCTGGAGGAGGTACAGTACACACAGTCGCACCCGACTGTATGTGGGGACGGCAGGTACGCACCTATGGAATAGATACAGCAGGTCACATTATAGCCCTGATATATACGATATGTGCCTATAGAATGTACATAACAGACTCAATCAGACGTAGACTAGCGAGATATTGTATATTTTAGACTTCGGTAATTTGGGTTTTCGTGATTTTTAAGTTCACCCCCTTTCCTGTAGGGGCTTTTGATTTCGTGTCATTCTACCTGTCAATCTTAGACAATCTTACACACAGACCCATAGTTTAGCCACCCAAAACAATACTTCCCTACCCGGAAAACATGCACATAGTCTGTGTCAGTGTCCATTTGTGTGTAATATTTGGCTTTCTTCAACATTACGTCAACAACTTCAACACCTTCAAAAAAGGTATAAACGCAATGTTATAAGCATGATATAGATACCATTCATATTCAAGGAAAGGTTTCTGTGACTTTATTACTGACCTCTCTTGACTAGGATCTTGATGATATCGTAGTTGTCCCTATGTGCGGCGAGCATGACGGGACTGACGTCAGGTGGCGCGAAATTCGAATAACAAACGCTCTCAACGACGTCCTGAAAAAAAAAACACGTTCCTGAGATCAATGACTGGCCATCGTTTTCGTGCAAACTCTCGCCGGATCTCACAAGACTGTGTTCTCGCGAGAGCACATTTCATAATGGCGCCCGTTATTGGCAACGCTTCTATTGTCATATATATTGCATTGGTGTCTACCTGATTGGGAAAATTTGGAAGTAAATTATGACTTTGTAAACCAACTTTCTGTTTGGATATTTCCTAATATACACATAGATGAGCCTAAGCAAATAAATAAACAAACATAAACAATCAAAAACAAAAGTGTGCATCGCCAGTGAAGGTATGGACATCCAAGCTGAAGCAACTGGATATGATTTTGGAAACGGTCAGATGTTTCAGGTAGCATCCACTACCTTTCGACACTAAGAGACTGCAGGATAAATGCAGGTCTATGAGGTGTAGGTTCAAGAACTGTGCACATGGATAAACAAACTAAGCAAATGAATAAACAAACATAAACAAACAAAATTGTGCATCGTCGATGAAGGTTAGACATCCAGGTAATAAGATATGCCAAAAACAGTTACTCAAGCAGTTACTCGAGCAACAGTTACTCAAGCAACTTTCCCGAATTATTTCTAGTTGCTTGAATAACTGTTTTAGGCAAAACTGTGAAAAAACAGTTACGCAAGCAAACAGTTACTCGAGCAACAGTTCGAGCAACTTTCCAGAATTATTTCCAGTTGCTTCAATAACTGTTTTAGGCAAAACTGTGCACCGTACCATCATGCTGGCCTTGTGCATCGGTCGGTGATCCAGTAGCAGCTCCACCGCCCAGGCAGCTTCCTCGTTCACCGCGAACAGTAACGCGTCACCTGAGGTAAAGAGGTACACCATGAGTGACTACATTGACAGCTAGACATAGAAGACTTCAGGTTTTCTGTATGTATTTTGGGGTTTGGTGACCTTCAAGTTCACAGACCTCTGGGAAGTGTTTTGGATTTTCGTGCATGTATTGGAACTGTGGAGGAGATTGTATGATGTACTTAACTCGGGTACTACATCACTTCCTGAATCCCTCAACATATACCAACCACTTGCTCCCATCTTCGGGCGTGACAGCCCTATCAATCAACTGTTAAAATCATCTCCCATCGGCCTTGCAACTGAAGCTATCATAGGACAAACGGAGACACAAAACCCACAACTCTGCGACCCAAAACAATACGGTACTCACCCACATAGATGTCGTGCCTGAGCAGCAGCTTGGTGATGTCCGAAAGGTCATGTTCTATTGCGATCAGCAGAGCACTTCTCCCCAACTGGTCAACACAGTGGATGTTCACCTTTTGTCCTGAGAAACAGATTTTATTATTTATTTGTTATCTATTTATTTATTTGTTGGTTACTCTTCTAACCTAAGAAAAAATGGGCCGACAACATCCAAGAATGGACAGGAAAAAACCCTGCGGAAACCCTAACCCTAGCTCACAGCCGAGAGGGATGGCGGCAGATGGTCAGACACTCCACCATGCAGTGCCCCCACGACCCTGGCCTGGGTTAAGGGACCAAGGTACAAGGTACAAGGTACTCTTCTAAAGATCTCAGTCGGTAAACGCTGTGCATTCTCATGATGACAACAAAGCTCGCCATTGTCCCAACGAGTAACTTGTACGTTTCTGGACTATCAAGAACAAATTCTAGTGATAGGACACAGAAGCGGCCGAGCTTTTGCCACATGTACAATTGTCGAGTATCTTTGCATTTGGCGTTTCTGATCATTGTCGCTCATTTTAGGAAGTAATTGAAACCAACACCATAAAAAACGCTAATGGATGTGTGGAAGGGCAACACTCCCAGCACCGTGGAGTCTACGAAGGTTTGGCTACCATCTTAAGTTCCCACCTGCTTTGTCTTTGTTCTTTAAGATTCTCTGCACGGCGACGAGGTCTCCCTTCTCCACAGCGGCTAGGTAAAACCGCTCGTCAATGGACAGGGCCTGGAGGACAATATCAATTAAACATGTCTATTAGCAATTCTGGAAATTAGTGTAAAAGCCTTTTCTTAGGCCTAGGGGAAAATAAAATGCTGTTTTGGGTTTCCCGACCGATCCTATCAAAAACCAAAGATCTTAGCTCTTTGTGACAAGAAGATCTAGACCGCTGGCAAGGCCATACAATTTTTGATCTGGCATCTGAAATCCTCTAAAACGTTATCCAACGCATTCTCAGAAGCACTTTTTATTCATTAAGTAAACAGGGTGAAATATTTGTCCCTTTCCTCAAGCAAACGGAGGGAGTTATTTTTACATTTTTTAAACTGCATTTGTTGGATCACTTAAACCAAATCTGAAAGACTGAAGCTGAAAAACACAACATTTCCTAGGCCTTAACAGAGTCGCTGCGCACTTTTCTAAATGCACAAAGTAATTAAGATACTTGATTCTTGCAACATGCTTTTTAATTGCACAGTGGGTAGGGGCTGAATTTTATATAGGCTGTCTATGACATTATTCATCCACCACAAAAGTCAAATTTCATAAATCGATATCAAATTTCCGGGACAATACTATCACCATGGTGATAATAATTGTGTCAGGCATGTAGCGTTGGCAACCAATTAACGCAACAGCCCAGGAAGCTTTGCAATTTTCCCTTCGTGATATGTCGCCTAATTTGATTTTCTTTACAGAAATAATCATTCGTTTCCGATATGCGCGAGTTGCATTTTAATGAGGCGTCGCGTTCAGATCTTATTAAAACATTTTTCAAACATTGTTTTTAATACGTATGAATGAAGAATACAGGTACTTTGTGGGGAGTTCAATATTACAGAATTATCATTATCATTATTATTATTATTGATATTGTAACGTCTACTAACATAAGATCATATATCATTTTCCTTGGGTACTTGAAAAAAGTGACTGCAGACATCTTCAATGCAATGTTTACCAGTATAACACACTCCTGCATATCTGAAGATTGCATACCTGAGGGGTGCTGCACTAGAGATGTTTCAAACACACTGTGTTTGAAAGTGGTGGATGAATATATGTACGTAACCTGGAGGGTAAGCTTTAATGGGGGTAACATCGTACCATGCTCCTCTCTGTGCCACAAGGCACGCCGTAAACATTTAAGACTACATAGGCGGCCCAGTCTAGCGGATCAAAATCGATAAGTAGGAGTTTGTAGTTATACCACTTGTTTCACAACTTATTCACTGGCTTCCAGGTAAAAGTAAACCATTCCTTAGAAGTATAGTTTGACTCCGAAAGCAACGATTAACGAATGAGGGCAAAAAGCACGCGTGCACAGAATGACAATGATGTTGTCAGAATGTGGTAATGTGTTCTGGTAGAGTCCAAGGATATACGAATCCTTTTGGCTGGATGTCAGGCTTATAATTGATGTCAGGTCAAGGCTATGCACATAAAAGACGTCTCGAAGAGTTATAACGACTGTCGACTGTGCCTTAGCCACGTTATTGTAAGGCAGACCACATCCCTCTCCTCCCACTGTCTTTTACCTCCCAACTTCAATCAGGCACTAGGCGGCTAGGTAGAGGGTGGAAATTCTTGTGAAGTGTCTTCCCCAAGGACACAACCACGTCTAGAGAAAGAAACAGACACGTACACCCAACCCCACAGCTCAGCTTTGCTTTTGGAAGTATTAAGAAGCACATGCGTTGAACGTACGTGTATACAACCATAATGCGGCTGCGTTTGTTCAGCCTCCCAAAACAAAACACCCATCTGTGTTGACCCTTTCAATGGAACAGCACGTAGAACATTATCTTAAAGTCAAGAGTTCAAGATACCTATCAAAAGAAATTAAGACTCCTAATTTATATTCATAGGCTGAGAATGAAATGAAGTACACTGTTGCTCCCTCACGAGTGGACGAGGTCCCTTCACCGGTTCGAGTGATGGCATTTTCAAACCGTTGATAAGGTATTTCGTATTCCGGCCATGCTTGGTTTCAGCCACTGGAATTTAGACAGGGCGTACTGGGCTCAGTGGGATTACAATAAAAACGTTTGGGCCACCAGCGACGCAATAATGTGAGATTGTGTTGGTCTTATACTAGGATAGGTCATCTCTCAGACATTATAATGGTCAATGACCTGTCCATTAACAAGAAATCGGGGATTTCAGATTTCCGGGAAGTGTTTTCGTGACCTGAAAGTTCACACACTTCCAGGAAATGCTTCTGAGCTTTCATGAATGTATTGAAACTGTGGAGGGGATTGTATGATGTGGTTTAACCGGGTGTTTTATTCTGTATCTGTATCAGTATAGCCGGTATAACCGCCCTTCGGCGTAACACACCAGCTTCTGTATCTGTATAGCCGGTATAACCGCCCTTCGGCGTAACACACCAGCTTCTGTATCTGTATAGCCGGTATAACCGGCCTTCGGCGTAACACACCAGCTTCTGTATCTGTATAGCCGGTATAACTGCCCTTCGGCGTAACACACCAGCTTCTGTATCTGTATAGCCGGTATAGTCGCCCTTCGGCGTAACACACCAGCTTCTGTATCTGTATAGCCGGTATAACCGCCCTTCGGCGTAACACACCAGCTTATTACACCACTTCCTGAATTCCTCCACCTATTGCCCACTTACTCCCACCCAGCGCGTGCTAGATCACCTTCAGGCGTAAACTCCCTATCAATCACCTGTCAAAATCACCTCCCATCCACCATGTAGCCAAGGCTATTAGGAGAAAGAGAGACATGCAATGCCACTCCAACCACCCAAAACACTGTGTTTGTTTTTTCCTGACTATTCTGTCCACTTTTCCGAGAGGTTTCAGAGTGCATCCCTTTGAAGTGGATCACTAGAAAGAGGAAGACTGACGTGGACGACTGTAGGTCACCGTGGTACTATTATTTACCACATGCCTCAATATGTATACATGCTCACACGACATTAAACAGGCGTAGAAAAAGTTACAGACGAAGCATGCATCACATGGAAGAGATAACCTTTCTTTCCTTTGAATAAAAATTTGTCACTGTCCACGTTTTGAATAAATCGGACGACAAATAGGTAGAGGGTGTTACGTTAGCTCTATATGTATGGCACATTCTGGTACCAATACAGTATTTTCACCACGACAATAAGGTGCTGAACAGGCAACACAATATTACCGGGAGTTATCTTCTTCTGTACACCTGGTGATGCGGTCATGTTATAGACTAACTCCACCAGCAGTGTGTAAAGGAAGTTGAACTCCAGGTTAATGTAAGTTGGAAATTGCCTGAGGTGGGGAACTGCGCCTACCAGATGTCCTGCTGGGAACACATCACAACTCTGACAGCCTGCGTGACTTGGATATTTACGACCAGACGTGTAAAAAGTTACAGGGTGTATCGAAGAATACTTTTTAGTATAGAATACGACCAGTGTCCACCTACAAAAGAATATTGATCTTTAATAAGTTGATCAAATAAAGAGAGGATGAGAAAATAGGTTGATGGATCTGCAAGAACAACATTTTTGCTACGTTTGCTTTGCTTCATCGGTTCGAGTGTGTATGTATTGTACCGTGATGTACAAAACATCGATAGACCGAACCTGGCTGTCCAACACAATTAGCAGTTCCACCAATAATAATAGCATGGCAATTAGCAATTCGACCAGTGCTCCCACCTCCCAACCACCACGCAACCGAAACTTTTAGGACGAACAGAGACGCAAACCCACAACTCAGTCATCCAAACCAATACGTCCATACCCAGAAGTAACAAGATTACATGCATATAACATGAAGTCACCATATCACCCTCATATGAAGAAGCACATCTCTAACTCCAAGAGACACTGATGGATGGCCTTACATAGCGAGTGCATATCTCATTTCTTATAGCAGAACTTAGCATGGATTTCAATGCAGTAGATAGCTTCAATATCGTATAGCTTCTAATGAAGTATATCTTACATGAAAATTCTATGAGTTTCAGTTTTCATAAAAGGTTTGATCTAATCTTTAGTCTACCCACGAGTGCCCCTTATATTGCGGTATTTCCTAAACAGAACTGTGCCAGAATACAGCCCCTTGACTTGTATACTCATTCGTCCGCTCATTTCTTGAATATTTCTGCTGCCTACATTTCCCCAAGGCTTTGTCCATACATAACACCCAGGAAATTGAATACCACGTACTCCAACTCTGACATATTATGCTTCAAACCCTGACCTTTGGCACGAATAGACAGTATCGTGACTAATAACACTTTCCTGTATATATCTACATGTACAGCACCTTCAAAGCACCGCTACCGCCTAAAGGTATTAGTACCATTACCCATTCGTTTTCATTACTACTACAAAGATCGGTCTTATACAAGGGATGATTTAGCTGTGAAATACAGAAATGCGAGAGAAACCACAAGGATATTTGAGTTCTCTTGAACAACAACCATGCATTTTTAGTCACCAACAAGGTAGAAACACGATATGGGAGATCTGACTTTCGGCAAGTATTTGGGGTTTCGTGTTTCGTGAATGTCGTACATAAATCGGACTAGGATCTGATGAGGGCACACCAACATTCTCTCAACCGGGACGGGGGATGGTACAGACTTTCGACGAACTTTGACCCAGGGATAACGTCGCACGTGCGGACAAATCACGTGTCTACAGCACCTGTGTCAGATAGCTGTTAAAAAGAGATTCGGTCGAAAATTCCGGACCAAGTCAAATTTGGAGAACAGTTCTCCAATTCTCGTCATGTAACTAACTTACCAACTCAGACTAACTTTCATTCCAATCTACCAATCCGATGAAAGTCTATTCACAATTTACTGGAAGACTCGAGGTTTTGACCTGTTTTAAAGCGATGTATCTAAAAGAATGGGGCAAATATTGGCAGTTAGCCTTATCGCCGTCTCACAAGCACCACACTAAGTCGGTTTAAGTCACGCCACGCATAGCAGGTCGTCAGGTATAATTGGGGTATCACAGAACAAAGACCAACACTACGTGTTCA